TACAAAAGCAGCATGATATTGTACATATTGATGTTGTATCTTATCCCATGAGTTCGATCTTAAAGCTAAGTAAACTCAAAAATCACAGCACTTGTGATTCCACTCGTTTGTAGACTTATCTAGAATCCATGATACGATAAATCATTTGATTGCAAATGTAAATGTAGTCATGAAATGCGCCTACTTAGTCAAGATTCCCCTAATAAATATTCAAGTGCATTACAAAGTTGTACATGCATGAATAATGTCCTTTCGTGAGTTATGTTTTGAAGAGAAGCAAGAATAAATATCATAAAGTCATTAATATCAGTAGGAGATGATGTGAGATTTGTTGTAAATGAGTAAAGGGAAAATGAATCAGGAGGGTAACCAACTCTTACGTTTGTTCTCATTTGGTCCCTTTCCTTTTTTTGTACTCAATATACCATCGAACTTGTTGTTTGTGTTCACCATAACCCTTTGACCGGCTATCACAGGTCAAAAGCCGGTCAAAAGGGCTATGGTAAACACCAACAACAAGTTCGATGGTATATTGAATACAAAAAAAAAAGAAAAGTGACCAAATGAGTACAAACGCAAAAGTTAATTACCCTTAAGAGTCATTTTCCCTTTTGTAAAATACAAAGATTAGTAGCTTGACATTTTCCTTTAAAATCCTCAAAGTGAGATATTTTGTAAATCACAGGGACCAATTATGAAATTTTGTCTAAAAATTACAAATGGATTTGCAGAAAATATCACAAAATTCTCATCATAAAGATTTTATTAATCCAATACTAATATTTTATTTAAAGTTTTAATACATATTAAAATTTTGTTATATTTGTTATGACAACATAAAGTATTATAAGCAATTAAATAATAGTTAGTTAGATATCATAATTATTATGTTTATTTTAAGACATTATGACAACATAAAGTATTATAAGCAATTAAATAATAGTTAGTTACATATCATAATTATTATGTTTTATTAAATAAAATAATCACAATATAACCGATATGTTTTTTTTATTATTGAAAATTTAAAAAATATTTTTTGGTGCATAATTGTAGCAGGAAACAATCAAACAATGGATCCTTTATTCATTATTTTTTGTTCCGATTAGAGATGCTTTAGAGATCAGTGATCAAAATTATCGTTATTGAAGCTTAAAGAAAGAATTTGATTATCTCATCAGTCACCAGCCTTAAAAAGAAAGCTAAAAAAGAAATCAAAAGTCGTTAAAGTGGTTGAAGAACATGAAAGTCAAAAAAAGAAAAAAAAAGGTTACAGTAGGTTGGCTAGTGAAGCCTTGTCAACTATTGCTTATCCACACAATTATTTTGTTATATTAGTCACCTAATAGCAAATTTTATACAAGGATTGATTGATATCTTCAATTGACAACAGAGTTAAAGCCATCAAGTTTATAGAAATATCATGTTCTTCTTCCCCATTTGCTTCCTCTTATAATTAGAATCATATATAATTTTCCATTTTCAATTTTTATACAAGGATCGATTGATATCTTCAAATGTTGTATTATTAAACACATGTGGGGTAATTTTTATAGTCTCTTGGAAAACCCGTTATAACCTTATATTTATTATTGTGTTTAAATGAAAATGACATATTATAAGAATACACTGATTAATATGGTATGATAGATAAAACCCTACGCTAAGCCGTTTGCTCCATCTTCTCATTCTCTCTTGTTTCTTGTCCCTTCTTCCTTCCCGCCATTCATATGGCTGACGACACCCTCTCTTCTTCTTGCGAAAAGTTGTACAGAATAACCAACATCAAAACATTCATCCTATTTCAATTGGATCTTAAACGTCTCAATTATGATGAATGAATAAAGCTATCTGAGACCCACTGCAATGGTTTAAGTGTAATTGATCATATTGATGATGCTTCAGATGATAAAACATACCTAAATGGAACAAGATGGATCCTTCCCACACTTTGGATCTATAGTACCATATCTTAAGCTTTCCTCCAAATGATTCTCAAACGAAATTGTAGTGCTTGACATATATGAGTTAGTCTTGAAACCCTTCTTCAGGATAATAAAGAGGTGAAATCGATCCAACTCAATAACGAGCTACAAAACATCACAATCGGTGATTCAAAGGTCACTGACCTCCTAGACAACATTTGATGGCTTGTTGTGACCATTCCCGAAAAGTACCTTATGACTTACATAATCAATGGATTAACACTAATATTCTACTACATTGGAAGTTTGATCATTATAAATAAATTTCCTCCACATTTTCTAGATGCTAGATCCATGCTTTAACTAAAAAGTAAAAAACAATTTCGAAGAAGATTGTGATCAAATTTCTCCGATGTTGTTGCGTTATTAGAAATCAACACAATAGCTATTTTACGGGAAAAAAAAATCTTATAAGAATATTTTTATTTTTGTATTTTCTCTCTATGTTTAGTAAATAACGTAACAACAATAGGTTTTTTCCTTAATTGTTGTATCTTACATCTCTAACCAAATTTTGTTTTAAACAATAAATCTAATTTATTTATAACCTATTTTTATTCTATTTACATCTAAAACGAGATCTTAAAAAGGAAAAAGACAAACATACTGATATATTGTTAGGCTTGAAACCTTATGACATATCTTTAACCAAATTAACCAAGAAAATTGATGTAAAAAGTTCATTTCTATATGATCTAAATTTTATACGCTCTTTGGTTAAAAGGAAAGTTACTTTCAAAGGGAATGAGAATATTTTTTGGATTGTTCAAAAAAACAGAAAAAAAAATAGCATCAAAGTGGCAGAAGTGGTTTACTTGATGTAATTAAATGCAAAATTACAAGATTCCAAGTGATTTGTTGCAGGATCACGCATTTTGTCAAACATCTTCATCACGCTCACGCGTGCTCTCGATATCCAATCCAACGCCCAATTTCCTCTTCCGTACCCCCAATCCAACGACCCACAATCTCCATCTTTGACTCCCACCTGCGCCAAAAAGAAAGCACACTGTCCAACACCAAAAAACGAAACCCCACCCACTTCTTTTTCATCTAATTTAGATGTCCCCCATCATTCATTTCACCCATTCATCCTTCATTGCTGCTGCCCAACAGATCAAGAACATCTTCCGAGTTTTCTGTCAAGAATTTTAATCTATTTTTCTCAGGAATCTGGACTTTGGGTACGATTTAATTGTTTTGTTTAGTGATTTAGTTCATCAAATTTCAGTGGGTTGTTGTCAATTTTGGGGGTTTCTTTCTGTTCGATGTTGTCGGAGTTGAATTGACAAGAGATCAAGGATATCTTACATGTTATCTTTTAGAAAGTTTGATCTGTTTGCCTCTGAAATTTGGATTTGGATATGTTTTAATTGTTTCATTTAATGATTGTGTTCATCGAATTCAAGGAATTTGCTGTCATAGTCGTTTTCTTTCTGTTGATAAAGATCAAAACATCTTTCGAGTTATCGTTCAAAAAGTTTGATTTTTTTTCTTTCGGTAATCTGAATTCGGGTATGTTTTAACTTCTAACTCTTTTATTTGGTGAATTTAGTTGATCAATTTCTAGGATGAATAACTAATTTTCTTTGATGTTAAAAATAAAAAAATATTGGGAATCTAGTCGAAAAGTTCTGTTTTTCCTTTTTTCAAAATTTAATTTCTAGCTCAAGTTCTCATATTTTTTACAGTTTTAATGTCATGCAAATCTCCTGTTCAAGAAATATGTTCATGTAATTTATGAACGTTTCACTTTTCGATCTGTAATTCCACTAGCGTCTTTATAAATCCTGTGAAATTATATCATCTTTTCTCTTTGAACCCATCAAGATTTTTATTTTAAATACTAATAATTTGTCATATGAACATCTAACAAACAATTATTTAGAACACACATCATCAAACTTTAAGGTTTGATTATAATTGTTTACCAGATGTTCATATGTCAAATTATTAACATTCAAATCTCGATCAATAATGATAAAGATCATTACCCAAGAAGTAATTTTGTGTTTATAGTTTAACTAATCTTGAATTTCGATCATTTTATTACAATTTTGGTGTAGGGGGATATTCAAAAAGTTGATTTTGATATAAAAACAGAGCAACATGCCGTGGACCTCTTTGGGAATTAATTATTGTGGAAAGTGTTTTCACTTGGCGCTCTTCTTTTTCATACTGTAATTCTATTTTCTCAGGTAAGATAAAGAGGTAATTTTTATTTTTATTTTTCTTATACATTCCTACAAATAAATTTCACAATCTTTATCAAATTTGCCAAAACCGAATGTACACCAAATTGAAAAACGATAATCGCATTTATGATTTATTTTTTTTACAGAATGTGAAGTGCGAATAACTATTTTTTTTTTTTTTTTTTTTTTTTTGCAGAGTTGTTTTTATTAATTGTGTGAGTTGTTAGTATTTATTAGTCTGCATATTGGTTGGAGGACTGAGAATGTACATTGGCATTACACAAAGGAGAATCGGATCTGTGAAAGAAGCGGGAAAGATTAAAATGAGTGTTGGAATTATTGCGTATTACAATTTGATGCAAGTTTGTCAGGTATATATATCTTTTTTTTTTTTTTTTTTTTTAAGCGAAATGTTTAGTATGTGACTTTTTTTTTTTTTTTTTTTTTTTTTTTAATGGGTTAATACTTATGCAGTATTTGTCGACTTTTACAGGCTGAATATTTTCGTCAGTTGCTTAAGCCAGTTACGTAGTCTTCCAAAAGTCAAAGCCCTTTTTGGTCATTTCACATTAGAAAACCATAAATCTCTCAAAATCTGTTAGTTGTTGGTGATTATTATTAACATAAAAATCTCTTGGCCTAAAAATGGAAATAACTTGAAAGTGCATCATTTGCACTCTTCTCGATCCTAATTGCCTTTCAAGATTCTTCTTTTTTTTTTTTTTTTTTTTTGTATTTATAAAAACAAAACCACAAAATTCGAAAGCCACAGTTCAAACTTCAGATTTCAGAAATCGTTTTTTGGTCAACAAAAGTCAAAATGGGTAGTGGGTACTTCCCGGATCGCAATATTTCATCCTTCTTTGGTCAAAATGTTGACTTTCAGCCTGCCCGAGACTGCCCGAGAAACTTTATTATTTTTGACCGGACAGATAACCAAAGTAGGATCGTGTACCATCCTGATACTACTACTACTACTTCTACTATGCCAGTGCGAAAAGACGAAAATGCCCCTGGAGTTATGAATGAAGATTTAGCTGATATAGACGCGTTGTTGAGCTTGGAGGATGAAGAGGAGGAATATGAAGAGGGTGATGACGTCAGCACGGGGCGTACAGGTGGATATGATGGAAGTGACACGTCAGATACTTGCTCTTCGAGCAGGAGAAACGGTGGGCCAGGGGTATTTTCGGGATATGAGGTGAAAGATAGTGAAAGAAAGAGGGATAAGATGAAGAAGATGGTGAAGTCTCTTAAGGGAATTGTGCCTGGTGTTAATGGAGGAATGAATACTGTTGATGTTCTTGATGAAGCTGTTAAGTATCTCAAGTCGTTGAAAGTTGAAGCTCAAAAGATGGGGTTTGGAGATTTCCAGGGGTGAAATGACGATGGTGCCCTTGCTGATAGGGTGTTGTGTTTGTATTGGAAGGTGGCTAGGTGGGTAGAATGGTAACTTTACTTGGTTTTCTTATGTACGGATGATGGATCTTTATGTGATGTTTATGATGAGTGGTTTTTACATGTTGCGTTTGATGCTTGTGGTTTTATTGAGGGGCTTTTATTGTGGTTAAGATATATTTGGTATTTTAAGTTATATTGGTGAGGAATTAAGGATGAAACATTTTGCAATAAAATATTAATCATTAAAGAAAGAGCAAAAAGTTATTGTTCCTAATTAGGGGTTGTAGCTATAGAGGATTTAAAAAAAAAATTAAATGGAGAAAATCATGGCCCCGGCCCGAAATGTTGGGGACCGCATTTTATTAGCTTTATACCTTAAAAGTTGAAACCAGTGAATTCTTAAAAAATTTTTTTACCACTGCAATCATTTTTTTTGAAAGGTGAAACAGCATATATTAGCTCAAAAAATGACTTAAGCTAGAAACTCATCATATATCAGCACAAATAAGAACTTTAGTCTGAAGCTCAAAGTCAGGAAACAAATGAGTTTAAAATTGGAGACATACACCAAGCAATGCAATCTAAAATACAAAACTTGGATCTAGATTTAATCCAATTGAAAGTGTTAATATCAAGTAAGTGCTTAAAGTGAAAAATCAACTTTATGGACCAAGTACAAGCAACAAAATTTGCAAGATATGAAAGGGAAGAAACCCTCGTAATTTCGGCCATTTGAGAAGAAAAAGAGAAGAAACTTGTCAAAAGAAGTAGCTTCATTTCATGTCTCATACTTTATTTTATACCAACATTTAGTACAAAAGGCAAGGCTCAAAAGAATGTCTAAGCATTAAACTAATAAAAAACAATCTCATGCCTTGTCATGGTGATTAGTGATGAGTGAAAGAGATAAAACTCAATTGTTCGGTACTTTATCTTTAACTTGTTAGTTATATTCAAAGTATATGATCATTAAAGTGACAAAACATATGTATATGTCTTAAATAATAATACGATAATTCACTAGTTTTATTCTCTTTATTATTATTTCTTACAAAAAATAATTCTCAATATGTTGCTAAAATATTATTTATCAAAATAATGTTTTTCCAATTAAATACAAATGTTGATACTTATTAATGTACAATTTATAATAATAAATAATCAATTAGTGGTAACTTGTTATAAGATGTGACCATATATGATCATATGTTATTAACAATATTATTCTATAATAACTTTTGGACATACAAGGTCTTTCAGAAAGGACGTTGCCATTTTTTATTCAAAAGAAAGCTATCCTTCTATAAAGCTACATTTCCATAAATGTATCCTTCCAATAAACTATCATTCTATAAATGTATCATTCCAAGTTTGTAAACAAATCATTTTCGACATTTCCATTTAATATTACACCGTTTAATATCATATTTTCCCCTTTAAACTAAACCAAGCTTGGTATCCGTTATGTCGATCATATTTCTCAATTATCCATGCTTCATATGTGTCAAGTATATTATAAAGATGTCTGCTCGTTGATCATTTGAGTCGACATGTTCTACTATAATTTGTCCTTCCCAAGCCAAACGGATTGACATGCAACCGTCGTAACTGCCATGAACTCAGCTTCACATGTCGACAAAGTAACAATCCTTTGATTGTGAGATTTCCATGTCACTGCATTTCTTCCTAGGTAGAAAATCATCCCACTTCTACTCTTGACACCAACCTTGTCACCTCCATAATCATTATCACTAAACCTAATCAAATCTTCAGCTTCGCAACCCTTTCCATAGTTGAGCCTGTAATCAGGGTTCCTTTGACATACCATAAAGTATATTTTTCCACTTGAAAATGCAAGGTAGTTGGTTGCTCCATGAAACGAATAGCAACACCATCAACATATGAAAATCCGATCGAACATCCCACTACTACCCTATATTCAGTTGGGTCTATTTTTTCACCATGTTCATCTTTCTTAATCTTCAACTTATTTTACATAAGTGATGCTGAGTTGCAATCTAGTAACATGAATTGCTCCAAAAACTTTTTTTGTGTAATTCGTACGTCGAAAAGAAATTCCCCACTTCTTTTGTGATAATTCTGTTCCGAGATAGTAAGAAAGCAAATCCAAATCACTAATTTCAAATTCTTTTTTCATTTGCTCTTTGAATTTAACATTGTCTTCGTTGTTTGATCCTATAATGATCAACTTGTCAATGTAGACACCAACTAAAAGTGTTTCTTTTTAGGTTCCTTTTATACATAGCTATGTCTTGTGAACATTTTGAAAAATCAAGTCCTTTTAGGCTTTTATCCAGACAAATGTCCAATCTCCGAGAGCTTGTTGTAAACCATAAAGCACCTCGGAGAGTTTAAACACCTGGTGACTATGTACTTTATCAACATATCTTTTAAGTTGACTTACATAAACCTCTCTTCAAGATCCCCATTAAGTTAAATCTGACTTGACATATAAGTGGTGGATAACCCACCCTTCTAAGGCAAGAATGAGCCTTATGGTGTCAAGTCGCACTACTAGTGCAAAAACTTCATTATAGTCTACTCCTTGTTTTTGCACATAACCTTTTGCGACAAGTAAAGCTTTATGTTTTATCACATTTCCAAGATAGTCTTTTTTCACTTTAAAGACCCATTTCAATTATATTACCTTGTAATCGGTGGCAAGTTGGTAAGTTTTCACGTCTTGTTTTTCTTGATTGCATCGAAGTCTGTTTGAATTTCCTCTCGCCATGGTTTATAGGTAATCGCCTCTTTAAAATTTAAGGGTTGATCCGTTGCAATCATCAACAATTCTCCGGGGTTTAGGATCACATTTTTAGCATCATTATAGATATCGGTAAGTGACCTAAATTGTTTTGGCCCAATCTCATTAGAAGGACTTTGCGTGTCAGTCAATATTGAAGAAAATGGGTAGACGATATGAATATATGAGGTTGTTTTGAGTTGGAGACATTTGACATAAGGGCTTTCCAGGTTGATTCAGGAGTTGTCCGGTTGCGCCGAATTGACTTCGTGGTTATCCGATTCAATTATCGTGAAGGTTTTTGGTTGTTTTGTCTATGCGAAAGTTGTACGTGGATATTTGAATAAACTTGAAGACTTGTTGGAAACCAATGATCTAATTGTATGTTATATTAAAGTTGAGTTATCATTCAATGTATGAGCAACCAAAACATAATGAAGCAAAAGAGAAAATAAATAAGGGACAAGATTTTTCAAGTCATAAGTCCTTACTAAATATTTATAGACAATTAATTTTTTTTTTCTTAACACAAGCAATGGTTAAGCACCACTTAAATATATATCCTAAAAAGATTAATAATATAATAATAAATAATAAAAGTAATCTACTTATATCTAGACAAATCTCATAAATCTTGGAAAGTACGAACATTATCTCATAAAGTAATAGTAAATTACATGAATGATCCCTATGGTTTAGGGTGATTTACGTGTTTGGTCCCTTAACTCGGAAGGGTCCCACTGTTTGTTTTTGTTATGTATTTGGTTCCTATCATACTCAAAAAAACTATTTTTCCCTTGATTTTTTTAATTTATTTAAATAAACACACCCAACCCCACACCCTCACCTTACCTTACCTTACCTACCCTACCAATTTTTCATATTTAAATAATAGTCTTTTTAAGTAAGACAATGACCAAACGCGTAACAAAAACAAATAATAGGGACCAAGTGCGTAAAAAAAACAAACAGTAAAGACCTTCCGAGTTAAAAAAATAACTTAGAGACCAAAAACGCAAATTATCCCAAACCATAGGAACCATTCGTGTACAACTAAGCCCGTGAGCTTGACTCGAGTATGTAAAATATAAATAAAATAAAGGGTAAAAGTAAAGATATAACTAAGCTCGATTAAGCTCGCGAGCTTCATGAGCCAATCGAATATTTTTATTCTTGAGCTCGACTCGATAATATACTCGAGTAGCTCGAGCTCCAGCTCGAATCGACTCGAACTGATTCGATTTCAAGTATTTTTCGACTAGGTCTAGAGTATATAACTGTTGGATAAGGTGTCTAAGTCCATAACTATTTCTGGTATGTACTTGACCCGACCCGGCATGGTTCATTTGGGTTGCATGGCACCGTGCAATTGGATAGACTAAATGAGAGAAATAACACTTGGAGATTATTAATATATTATAAGTTCTAATATATTAATAATATTATTTGATTAGTTTGATCAAGAATTAATTTAGAATTAATTATGTGATCAAAAGATAACTAATTAAATATATGGGTTGATTATGTAAATCATCCATATCTTGTATAGTGGGCTAAGAGGCTCCATGGATTATTAAGTTGGGTTCCACCCATAGGATGCTCCATGGGAGTTACAAACCCATGGGTCATGGAAATGAAGAGTCATGACACATTAGGGTTTAACCCTAGATGTGTCAACACTATATAAGAAACATGTTCTCCACCTAAAATCGGCTACACTAAGAAACAAGAGGGCTTGGCCGATTTTTGAGAAGTGTGTGTTCTCTCATAAGTTCTTCCAAGAGCATTTGGTGTTGTGTGAAGCATTTGAGGCATCACACTTGGGGTGCTAGGCTCACAAGGTTTCAAGGAACACAAACAACAACAAGGTAAGTTATTCTATCTATACTTTAAGTTAAAATTGTTCCCCATGTATGCTAGATAGGAATATAACCTTGGAATTCAACTTTGCATGATAATTAGACAAACATAGATCCAAGGTTATTAGGGTTGCATGTACACTTAGGAAGTGTTAGAATGCTCAAAACCCATCAGTGGTATCAGAGCCTAGGCTTGTTTGCTTTTTATTTGTGCTTAAAAGTTGAAAAAAAAGTCGAAAATCTTGCTGTCTACGAGTGGACTCGTCGAGTCTATAGGGGGGACTCGGCGAGTTCACGTGTATCTTCAACCAACTCGGCGAGTAAGTTCATGCACTCGGCGAGTAGGGTCGACTGATT